ATAGATATGCAGATTGAGAGAGATAGCGGGAGAGGGAGGCACATAGAGAGAGAGAGAGAGAGAGAGAGAGAGAGAGAGAGAGAGAGAGAGAGAGAGAGAGAGAGAGAGAGAGAGAGAGAGAGAGAGAGAGAGAGAGAGAGAGAGAGAGAGAGAGAGAGAGAGAGAGGGGGGGGGGGGGGGGTACACTACGAGAGTGAGGTTATTTCAAGCAGGATTCGTGCATGGAACCAAATACATACAGATTATATCATGTAAAATGGATGACAATATCACAGAAGCACAGATGTAAAATTTGAAACATTAACAACAAAAAATTACTGGACGATCCCCTCCCCAAATAAAAATCTTTTAACAACCATACACAGTTATATATCAGCTTGAAACAGAACAAAAAAATGAGCATGAGCTTTCTTGCACCCATTATTTATATGAAAATAAACGTAATCGTAAGAAAATAATAAAACCTCTACTCTCTAGCACGGAATTCAAGACATAAACATCAAACATGCATGATTAAAAATCTAACACATTATGCAATATTCAACATCCAACATTTAACATTCAGTATCTAACCCTCATCATGCAATATTCAACAAACAATATTTAATATTCAAACATTAATATACAACATCCAACACCTCAACCCTCAACATTCAACATCCGACACAATATCCAACCTCAACACCTCAACAACCAACCCTCAACATCCAACACCTCAACCCTCAACATTCAACACAACATCCAACCCTCAACATCCAACATCCAACCTTCAACATCCAACATCAAACCCTCAACATCCAACCCCCAACATCCATCACCTCAATTCTCAACATCCAACATCCGACCCTCAACATCAAACATCACACCCTCAACATCCAACCCTCAACATCCAACATCAAACCCTCAACATCCAACACCTCAACTCTCAACATCCAACATCAAACCCTCAACATCCAACCCTCAACATCCAACACCTCAACTCTCAACATCTAACCCTCAACATCCAACATCCAACCCTCAACACCTCAACCCTCAACATCCACATCCACCCCAACCTCAACCCTCAACACCTCAACTCTCAACATCCAACATCAAACATCAAACCCTCAACATCCAACCCTCAACATCCAACATCAAACCCTCAACATCCAACACCTCAACTCTCAACATCCAACATCCAACCCTCAACATCCAACATCAAACCCTCAACATCCAACCCTCAACATCCAACACCTCAACTCTCAACATCCAACATCCAACCCTCAACGTCCAACATCCAACCCCCAAAACCTCAACCCTCAACATCCAACTCTCAACTCAACATCCAACATCCAACCTCCAACATCCTCAACATCCAACATCCAACCCTCAACATCTCAACCCTCAACATCCAACATCCAACCCTCACATCATCAACCTCCATCCAACCCTCAACAACATCCACCCTCAGAACATCAACAACAACCCTCACATCCAACATCCAACATCCTCAACATCCAACCCTCAACCCTCAACATCCAACATCCAACCCTCAACATCCAACACCTCAACCCTCAACATCCAACATCCAACCCTCAAGACCTCAACATCCAACCCTCAACATCCAACATCCAACCCTCAACATCCAACCTCAACCCTCAACATCAACATCCAACATCGCAACCCTCAACATCCATCCAACCCTCAACATCAACAACATCAACATCCAACATCCAACCATCAACAGATCAACATCCAACCCTCAACATCCAACATCCAACCCTCAACATCCAACACCTCAACAACATCAACATCTCAACATCCAACACCTCCAACCCTCAACATCCAACACCTCAACCCTCAACAATCCAACCAACCCTCAACATCCAACCCTCAACATCCTCAACATCCAACACCTCAACCCTCAACATCCAACATCCAACCCTCAACATCCAACACCTCAACCCTCAACATCCAACACACCCTCAACATCCAACATCCTCACATCCATCACCAACCTCAACATCCAACATCCAACCTCAACATCCAACACCTCAACCCTCAACATTCAACCCTCAAATCCAACATCCAACCCTCAACATCCAACACCTCAACCCTCAACATCCAACACCTCAACAACTCCAACCTCAACATCCAACACCTCAACCCTCAATCCATCAACCCTCAACATCCAACATCCAACCCTCAACACCTCAACATCCAACATCCCTCATCCAACATCCAACATCCAACCCTCAACACCTCAACATCCAACATCCAACCCTCAACACCTCAACATCCAACATCCAACCCTCAACATCCAACATCCAACCCTCAACCCTCAACATCCAACATCCAACCCTCAACATCCAACATCCAACCCTCAACATCCAACATCCAACCCTCAACATCCAACATCTAACCCTCAACATCCAACATCCAATCCTCAACACCTCAACCCTCAACATCCAACATCCAACCCTCAACACCTCAACATCCAACATCCAACCTTCAACATCTCAACACCTCAACCCTCAATCCATCAACCCTCAACATCCAACACCTCAACCCTCAACATCCAACACCTCAACCCTCAACATCCAACATCAACCCTCAACATCCAACATCCAACACCTCAACCCTCAACATCCAACATCCAACCCTCAACATCCAACACCTCAACCCTCAACATCCAACACCTCAACCCTCAACATCCAACATCCAACCCCCAACACCTCAACCCTCAACATCCAACACCTCAACCCTCAACATCCAACCCTCAACATCCAACACCTCAACTCTCAACATCCACATCAAAACATCAAACCCTCAACATCCAACCCTCAACATCAACATCAAACCCTCAACAACTCAACATCATCCAATCCAACACTCAACTCTCACATCCCAACATCCAACCCTCAACATCCAACATCAACCCTCAAATCCAACCCTCAACATCCAACATCAACTCAACATCCAACCCTCAACATCCAACCCCCAACACCTCAACCCTCAACATCCAACACCTCAACCCTCAACATCCAACATCCAACCCTCAACATCAACACAACATCCAACCCTCAACATCCAACATCCAACATCCAACCCTCAACATCTCAACCCTCAACATCCAACATCCAACCCTCAACATCCAAACAACCTCCCTCAACATCCAACATCCAACCCTCAACACCTCAACATCCAACCCTCAACATCCAACATCCAACCCTCAACATCCAACCCTCAACATCCAACATCAACCCTCAACATCCAACATCAACCCTCAACACCCCAACACCTCAACCTCCAACATCCAACATCCAACCCTCAACATCCAACATCCAACACCTCAACCCTCAACATCCAACACCTCAACCCTCAACAACCAACCAACCAACATCCAACATCCCTCAACATCCAACACCAACCCTCAACATCCAACATCACTTCAACCCTCAACATCCACCATCCACCCTAACACACTCAACATCCAACCCTTAACACCTTCAACATCCAGACATCCACTCCTCAACTCTATACTAAGCGCACAACGGCTTAAGCACCTCAACATCCACAATCAACACACAACTCCTCCAACACCTCAACACCAACATCAACACCTCTCAAATCCTTCAACATCCAACCCTCACAACCTCAACATCCAACATTCAAATCCACCAGATGCCAACATCCAACCCTCCAACATCCAACATCCAACCCTCAACCCTTAACATCCACATCCAACNGGCGACCTCAAAAACATCTTGCACCATCACCCTACCCGCAATCTACACGAAGTCGCCGCACACATCCCACATATCCCTCAACATCCAACCTCTAATCACTATCCACACAGTCAACCCTGCACATCGCGAAACATCCAAACGTCTAACACATCTAACACCTTAATCTAATAATCAACCATCACATCAACATCTAACCCTCTCCGAATTAATCATCATCCAAACATCCAAATCACCAGGTCTCAAACCTAAACATATCTATCCGAATCATCCACCTTCAACATCCAATCTATCAAACCCTTCACATCCAACACCTCAACCATCAACATCCAAACATCTAAAACCTACTCAATATCCAACATCCAACACCTCAAACCCTCAACCACTCCAACAACCAACCTTCAACATTCCCAACATCAAAACTTCAACATCCAACACCCTCACCCTCAACATGTCCACCCCTCAACATCCAACATCCAAACCTCAACACCTCAACATCCAACCCTCCAATCATCCAACACCCAACCCTCAACACCTCAACATCCAACATCCAATCCCAAACCCTCAACACCTTAACAACATAACAAACATCCAACCCTCAACATCCAAATTCATCCTAACCCTTTCAACAGTCCAAAACCATCTCTCAACCCTCACAAACATCCAACATCTATCCCTCAACATCCAACATCCAATCCTCAACACCTCAACCCTCAACATCCAACATCCAACCCTCAACACCTCAACATCCAACATCCAACCTTCAACATCCAACATCCAACACCTCAACCCTCAACATCCAACACCTCAACCCTCAACATCCAACACTCAACATCCAACATTTAAACCCTCAAACATCCAAAAATCCAAACAACTCAACCCTCAACATCCAACATCCAACCCTCAACATCCAACACCTCAATCCTCAACATCCAACATCCAACCCTCAACATCCACACTCAACCCTCAACACCCAACATCCAACCCCTCAACATCCCCAACATCTAACCCTCAACACCAACATCCAATCCTTCAACAACCTCAACCCTCAAACAACATCCAACCCTCAACACCTCAACATCCAACATCCGCCAACCTTCAAATCCAACATCCAAACACCTAACCCTCAAACATCCAACACCTTCAACCCTCAACATCCAATATTTTTAAACCCTCAACATCCAACATTTTAACCCTCACATCCAACATCCACACCTCAACCCCTCACATCCAACATCCAACCCTCAAACATCCACACCTCAATTCCTCAAACCATCCAACATCTCAACCCTCACACTATCCAAACACCTCAACCCTCAACATCCAATATCCCTCAAACATCCAACACCTCAACCTCAACATCCAACCCTCAACACCTCAACATCCAACATCCAACCCTCAACACCTCAACATCCAACATCCAACCCTCAACACCTCAACATCCAACATCCAACCCTCAACACCTCAACATTCCACATCAACCTCAACACCTCAAACATCCACTCAACACCATCAACATCCAACATCCAACCCTCAAATTCCAAATCCCAAACCCCTCAAACACCTCAACATCCAACATCCAATTCTCAACACCTCAACATCCAACATCCAACCCTCAACACCTCAACATCCAACCCTCAACATTCCAAACCCCTCAAACATCCAACACCTCAAACCCTAACATCCAACCATCAAACCCTCAACATCCAACATCGCAAAACCCTCAACATCCACATCCAACCCGTCAACATCCAATCATCCAACACTCTCAACCCTCAACATCCCAACACCTCAACCCTCAACAATCCAACATCTAACCCTCAACACCTCAAACATCCAACATCTCAACCCTCAACATCCAACATCCAACACCTCAACCCTCAACATCCAACACCTCAGCCCTCAACATCCATCACCTCAGCATCGTAGCGGACGGTGTGGAGCGGCTGGTCGACTTTGCGGATGTCCCAGAGGAGGGCGGCGGCGTCCGTTCCCCAAGAGGCCAGGTAACGCCCGCACCAGCTCAGGTCAGCGCCGTTGACCTCGCCCTCGTGACCTTGTAGGGTCGAGCTGCATCTGGGTGAGAGGCAGGGAAGGGGGGCGGGTAAGGAGGGGGTGAAATAGGAAGGGAGGGAGGGATAGGAGGGTGAGGCGAGAGAGAGAGAGAGAGAGAGAGAGAGAGAGAGAGAGAGGAGAGAGAGAGAGAGAGAGAGAGAGAAGAGAAAGAGAGAGAGAGAGGAGAGAGAGAGAGAGAGAGAGAGAGAGTAGAGAGAGAGAGAGAGAGAGAGAGAGAGAGAGAGAGAGAGAGAGAGAGAGAGAGAGAGAGAGAGAGAGATGAGAGAGAGAGAGAGAAAGTGAGTGTGTGTGTGAGAGAGAGAGAGAGAGAGAGAGAGAGAGAGAGAGAGAGAGAGAGAGAGAGAGAGAGAAGAGAGAAGAGAGAGAGAGAGAGAGAGAGGGAGAGAGAGAGAGAGAGAGAGAGGAGAGAGAGAGAGAGAGAGAGAGAAGAGAGAGAGAGAGAGAGAGAGAGAGAGAGAGAGAGAGAGAGAGAGAGAAAGAGAGAGAGAGAGAAAGCAATAGTGAGTACGAAAAAAAGTAAAAGAGGCAAGCAACACTATCCCTCTTAATATATCACACACAAAAATCTGTACAAAAGTACGATTTCCATCCTAATTTCTTCCTTTGCCCCCCCCCCCAAATAAAAACAAAAAAAATCGAGAAAGTACACTCCATTCCTTACTTACGTGTACGAGCGGGTGTCCCAGAGCTTCACAGTGCCGTCAAAGGAGGCTGTGTACAGAAGCTCCCCTGACCTGTCTCCCCCAACGCCAACCACAGCTCCTTTATGGCCTGAGAGCGTGACGGTGTTCTCTCCTAGAAAATAAGATATATAGATATTAATTTTAGTTTCAATGCGAATGCGGTTTGAAGTTTATTGAAACACTTCGTTCTTTATTCCTGGTTATTAATTCTAGCGAATAGTTCTCTGGAAAAAAAATATATATATTCTTTTATTTCTATACTGGTGTATTACATTTCATTGCACATGATGTATACATAGAGTTTATCTATTTTCCATTTGTGATTAACTATTCTGGTGAATAATTCTCGAAAATATATATTTATTCCACAATTTTCATATCTATTATCATACCAACTAAGCATCCTTTATTTACAAACTCCCTCACCCTACGTGCATAAAATATAGTGAAATTATATTGACTGCGAGTGTGCAAATAAAATAGGATTTTTTTTAGGCTTAAAGGTAAAAAAAAAATGTCACAGCATAACTCTACGGCAAACACCGATCTTTTCACTTCCCAAATTATAGTTGCGTTTATAATTTAATTCACTCTCGTTATGTGACACAACTATCTATAAACATCATCGAAATTTTATCTAAGAGTAAATTCTATACTAATTCTAGATTCAAATATTATTAGCACCCACTGTGCTTTTATTTCATTTGACAGGAGATGCAAACTGAATATTCGATCAATAGTCTAGTTTATCATCACCACTTACCTTCTTGTTATCAGATGATGATAATCAGTGATCTGTCATCCTGGTAACAATCCTTACCATTCTATCAAATGTATCTCAGTGTATAGTTACACACACTCACACACACACCACTCACAACCAAAACCACTCCCACCACTCACCACCACTCCCACTACTCACCAACACCCTCCCACTGACCCATATGCAAGTCCCACACCCTGGCCGACGTGTCCATGCCCCCGGTGAGAAGGTGGTGGCGCGATGTGGCCAGGGGACGGACCACTGCTACCGGGCCTTCGTGTCCCTCCAGGGCCAGTTCGCAGGCGCCCTCAGGGGAGGTCCACACCCTGAGGCTGCCGTCGAAGCTGGAGGTCGCTACGAGTTCGCTGGGGGAGAGGGGAGAGTGGGAGGGAGAGAGGAGGAGAGGTAGAGAGGGAAGAGAAGAAGGAGGGAGGAAGAGGGGTGAGGGTGAAAGGGAGGAGAGGGCGAGAGGAGAGAAAGAGAAAGAAGAGGAAGAAAGATGGAGAGAAAGAGAGAGGAGAACGGGAAGAGGGAAATAGAAATGGAAAGAGGGACGTGTAAATCATAAGACGGAGTGAAATATAGAGAGGAGAGAGAGAAGAGAGAGGAGAGAGAGAGAGAGAGAGAGAGAGAGAGAGAGAGAGAGAGAGAGAGAGAGAAGAGAGAGAGAGAGAGAGAGAGAGAAGCAGAAGAAGAGAAAAGAAAGATTAATCTATATACCCTTTTATCACATAAATCATCTAATCAAAATTCATGAAACCTACACACTCACCCTAAAACAAACAAGGAAAAACAAATACAAACAAAACATATAAAACAGAGACAGACACACAGAAGACCCAAAGAGGACCTGCTTCCTTACTCATTCTTCCCCGCAAAGGTGACATCGAAGACGACGTCAGTGTGGCCCTTGAGCGTGGCCACACTCTCGCCCTTCTCGGTCGACCACAGGCGGCACTGGCGGTCGTAGCTGGCGGTGGCGCAGCTGGTCCCGGAAGAGACGGAGGAGTGTTAGTTTGTGTCGAAGTAGAAGGAGGAGAGAGAGGGAGGGAAGGAGAGGGGAGGGGGGGAGAGAGGGAGGAAGGGGGTGTAAGTAAGAGGGGAAGAGGGTGGGGGAGCGATATAAGTAAGAGAGAAAGGAGTAGAGTGGGAGTGAAGGTTAGAAAGAGGGGGGCTAAGAGGGAGGAAGGAGGTGTAAGTGAGAGGAGAATAAGGGGAAAGCGATATTAGTAAGAGAGAAAGGGGGAGAGAGGGAGGGAAGGAGAGCAGGAGGGAGGGAGGAAAGGGTGTAAGTGAGAGGGGAAGAGGGAGGGGGGCGATATAAGTGAGAGGAAAAGGGGGAGAGAGGGAGGGAGGGGGAGAGGGAAAGAGAGAGGAAGGGGGTGTAAGTGAAAGGAGAAGAGGAGGGAAGGTGTGTAAGTGAGAGGGAAAGAATGAAAGAGGAATGGAAGGGTGAAAGTGAGGAAGAAAGAGGGAAGGGGTGTGAGTCAGGGGGAAAGAGGGTGGAAAAGAGAGAAGGGAAGAGTGTTTTTTCAACCGGTGGATTTGCACACGGTGCCATATTCCCATCACATATCATATGTATAGGCTATAAACAGAACATGATATATATGTGTATGGTATGAAATAAACATGATTATGCATAGGCTATAAACTGAACGAAATATGTATGCTATAAATTGAGCATGATATTTACCTAAATGGTGTAAACTGAACATGCTATATATATATATATATATATATATTATATATATATATTATATATATATATATATATATATATATATATATATATATATATATATATACATATATGTGTGTGTGTGTGTGTGTGTGTGTGTGTGTGTGTGTGTGTGTGTGTGTGTGTGTGTGTGTGTGTGTGTGTGTGTGTGTGTGTGTGTGTGTGTGTGTGTGTGTGTGTGTGTGTGTGTGTGTGTGTAGGCATTAAACTATAATCTATAGTGATATAGTCGGGCACTACCTATCAGGATTCCCAATCCATACCATACCTTCCACTCGACAAAATTTTTACCCATATGTCTTAGAATTCAGATCGATTTTAATTCATCCACACCCAACCCCACCCCAACCCCACCCGCACACCCGTCCCCTCCCCCCTCCCCCAACCAACGCCCCTTCTCACATCGAGGCGTCCTTGTTCAGAGCCACATTGGTCAGCGGCAGGATGTGTGAGCGGAGCGTCTTGTGGGCGGCGTGGGCGGCAGTGGTGGAGTCTCGGATGGCGGCCACCAAACGCCCAACCAGCCTCTCCAGACGCCCACGCTGGCCGCCCACACACGCGTGTTGCGTCATCACCTTTGACACCACTTCGCCCACGGTCGAGCTGAGGGGCGGGAAAAAAGGGGAAAAATGGTTTAGTTAAGTGAATTTAGGGTAGGGCAGGTTTGATTTGGACAGGGCATGCCAGGGTAGGTTAGGTTCAGGGTAGAGCAGGTTTAGGGTGTTAGGGTAGGCCTAGAGTAGGTTTAGGGTGTTAGGGTAGGCCTAGAGTAGGTAGGTAGGTTAAGGTACGTTTAAACGTAATTTGAATTCCCTTGTATTACCTCTAACGAATGTATTAATATCGCACAGAAAATAATAGCAATGATAATAATAAATAATAATAATGATAATGATAGCAGTAACAATAAAAAAGTACTTTCAGCAATGCCAACAACATACACGTTAAAACAACATTAAACATCAAAGATGGTCGTGTTTCTAAATGGAGGATTGCAAAACTGCATAAGTTC